GTGTTTTGTTTCCCGCCGGAGCAAGCTCGGCCCCCCCCCCCCCCGGACTGAAGGGGGAGTCTCCCCTCCTCCCTCCTCTGTGTGTGTGTGAATGTATAGTCAAGTGTTCGTCGGTACCTGAACTAATAACCCTGTTAGAAACTGTTGTCTCACATCACAGCAAATCAACACCATTGGAACCAAAACAAATTCTAAATTCACATTAGAGGTGTTGTAAACCTGTTCACCTGCTGGTGGTGCTGTAATATACACTATGTGCGATTGGAAAAACTCTTTATTTTCAGCCTCAACGTTTCTGTCCCAACCACATACAACAGAGAGGTGAAGATTAACACGATAAATTTGCTTAAGAAATTACTAAAAACTTTTTTTTTCAGGAATTCCAGCATATTCTACCTTTCTGATCCACTCAGTCCTGGGAAGAATAGTTCAATAAGTGTGTGTGTGTGTGTGAGTGAGGGTTGGGGGGTTCACACTCACAGCTGCCTGAAATTCCAAACCTGACAGGGTACTACACACACACACACACACACACACAGACACACACACTCTAAGTATAGAAATAATGTGCGCGAGAACAAAGAGTCGAATCATCATCAACATGTAGTCAATGTGTAGTAACAGTTGAGTTTAACTCGAAACAGATGATGCTAAACAACTAGCCGAGGGGGCTATAGTTAAGGGGTATTTAGCAGCCGACGTCCATTCCCCAGCTGCAGTGATTGGATGAATAAACGTGTTAATAAAAACGAGAGGGGCGTTTTAAAACAAAAAACCAGAAAAATAAATATGATAAAACTACGTGTTATGTGATGCCCAGAGAGTTTTGTGAAAATTGTTAATAGTTAATTTACAACAAAGTTTTTTTTTTTTTTTACCTGGTTTGAAAAGACGAGTCGAGGGTTACAGTCATGCAGGAACCGACGCAGCCAGAAACATTTACAACGGTCCGTTTTAAAATTCCCCTCGAGCGCAGAAAAAAACGTCACCTCTCATGGAACTCTTTGTTACTCCTTTAGAAAAAAATATAAGAACTCTGTGAAAAAAAACTCCTCCAAACAAGTTGTTCGGGATAGATTTGTGAACTTTTAAAGTTCCGGGTTGGTTTGAGCAGCTCAGGCGAAGGTTTGAGTGACGTTAGCGAAAGAATACGTGCGACTTCTGGTTGTGGCTTTTAAAATAAAAGCTTTTCATATTTTCTGGGTAAACGATTCAACTTATCGATTAAACATAAGAAAAGAAATATAATTTTTTTAATTTATTCACCGGGGGTATCTTAAATTAGTGCTCTTCACTACATATGAATTTACATTGACTTTACGATTTAAAAACTAACGATGACGTTACTAAGGCGCTCTAACTTTGAAAAGAACACGGCATCTGTTCCGGATATGCTATCGTATATTCTGCTAAACTTCACAACGGGTTCCTCCATATTTTTTAAAAGTAGTTTAAGTATTAATTCCAAGCTGCACAGTATACAGTGGGTGGCAGCTGCCCCCTGCTGTCCCATTTTAATAACTGCTTCTGTTAAACTTCTACAAACACAAACGATTTCTTTAAAATACTTAAGTTCAAACGTAAAAAAATGTGACAACTTGCAGTGTAAGGAATACCAAAACACTTTTATTTTCTTTTGATGAAACTACGTCCTCACAAATGACGGGCCTGTGAAAAACAGCCTGTAGTTTTACATCTTGAACATCTGCAAAACGGACACGATTTGTTCTTCCTATGTCTGTTCTGCTCCACAACAACATCCCACAGGATGAAAACTTAGCTCCGGAGTGAACGAGCAGCAGCAGGCGTTACCACAGTGACGTAAAGTGCAATGATGAGACACTTTTTTTAGGAAGAAAACAAGATTTTTTTGATTGACCCTTTGAAACTACACGTTTAGCTGTAAAGCAGTTAGCAACGACCACGTAGTATTGTAATAATATTGTATAAAAAAATAAACGCTATCCTATACAAGCAGTGGTGAAGGATATACACGGTACATAACTGTACATACATACATTTTATCCTGGGGAGAGAAAAAAAAACAGGATCTTAAACAAACAGTTACTTTACAGAAGCATCGTAGAAAAACTCAATAGTGAAACTGTATCGTTTTTAATTAGTAACAAGTCTTTTGTGCTCTGTACAGAGACAGAAATGTTTAGAAAATGTTGGGAGAATGAGGAGAAAACAAAAGAAAAGAAAAAAACAAACAAACAATCTGGAATTGTGCCAAATATACAAAACAGAATTATATTTATTGACATGGTGACAATATGCACAACAATTGTATTCATACAAATACAACATGGTGAGGAGGGCATTTGAAACTAAAATTAATATAAAAAAAAGGGGGGTTAGGGGGTAAAAGTGACTCCAGTTCCCTGGTAACAGCACAAACCGAAGCTCAAATAACTCTGAGAACTTACTTGGTTTTAGTGAAGGACCGAACTTCTCACCATTTCAAGAACCTTATTCTGATAACGTAGAGTTTTTCAGAAGCCACCGGTTCCAAAACTCGATGACCTCGACGTTGTTAAAGCTGTTGTAGTCGACAGATTTTTGGTATAATCGATCAATGTTTGCACCGTTTTCATTCAGTGTCAATCAAAATTTCATTTAGTGAAATATTCCCATGATGGCAGACTCCGACCAATCACGTGGCAGCTTTGTAAATAAGAATGCTCTTGCTTTTCTGGTAAAAGAGACTATTAGAAAGTTTTTTTTTAAAGCAGCAACTGACCTAGAAGGAAAACAAAAAAAAAAGCAGCAACTGACCTGGAAGGAAAACATAAAAAAACAAACAAAAAAAAAAAACCCCTTGATCGAGGCAGGTAGTTCCCAAAGTGTGGGGCGGGGGCTTGACAATAGGCTGCAGAAGACGTTTGGGAACCACTGATTCAGGCAAAGTTTTCAAAAGACAGTGGTTATTATGTGTGTCGTGCATATTTGAAGATCAGACAATGACAGATCTAGTATTTAAAGATTCAGGTAAAAAAAAAATCTAGTATTTAAAGATTCAGGTTAAAAAAAAACCCCCAGTCATGTATTTTGTGCCATTCTGTCTCTAAAGATAAAGTTTTAATATTTTTTTTCCCTTAACTGAATTGTTTTCATTTGGTCCAAGACTTTTTAAAGTACAAATAATACATTATTGGTTTGTTATTTAACCTAAACAGGTCTGCACCTCGTGCGTGACCGCTACCACGACATACGTACGTCTCTCTCGTGTGTTATACTACAGTACTACTCTGCCTCTGTCTCCAGTGTGGTTCATTATATTTCAGTGAGTTTTTTTGTTGGTGGGAAATTAGAAAATATATCCTCTCTATTTACATGAAGACAGTGCAGTTTGAATCGCACCCCGGTGATAAAAGCAATACTCTGGTAGGTTTTTGTTTCTTCTTGTTGCTGGAGACGTTGAACATGAAAAAAAAGATTTTTTTGACAAAAGAAAAAAGAAAGACAGAGACAGACATAGGTGTGAAGTGAGCTTGCTGACAGATGCTCAGGAGCAACCAGCAACGTTGACGGACAAACATGAAGATCTATACATAAAGAGTCCGAAACAGAAATGACTTCCTTTGACTCAGTTCTCCTGGAAACGCAGGTGTAACTGTTCTTCTTGTTCTGATCTGTGTCTCTTCACGAGGCTGTACATGGAGCTGCCGTCTGACCGACCCTCGGACCAAGCTCGGTGCAGGTGTGTCCTCCTGTTGGCTTTCCCGGACTTCTTTCTTACCTTGCCTGACAGCGAGAAGATAACGTGGGGCCTGAAACAAGGTAGATCAGCAGGTGAGGGCAAACGTTTGCTGCTCTGACGTCAGGGTCGGGGGTCAGAGGTTGAGAATGGGGATGTCAAAGAGGTCGCACAGGCCTTCTGTCTCATCCAGGTTGTATACGTAGTCGTGGTCGCTGGGTGGAGGAGACAGGCGGAGGAGGGGCGAGAACACTGAAGAGGGGGGGCACAGAGATGAAAGGTGAGACCTGGTGTTTATTTCTAGTTTTTTTTGGCAGAGAAGAAGAAGAAGAATATTAAATCCTTAAGTTTTCACGTACCTTCTGATGACATCAAGTCATCCAGCAGGTCTCCACTCATGATTTCTGTCAGCAAGAGAACAGGAAAGTTAAAAAAAAACAACAACAACAACAGCTTTGATTAATAGACTGCACTGGTCAAGGAGAAATATTTACCCTTCGTTGGATCAAACATGTCTGACAGATCTTTGGGAAACTCCAGCACTAGAAGGTAATATATTGCACACAGATTTACTAAATTGGAACACACTTGTGTTGTGTACAATGAAAGTGTCACAGACTGCCTAGAATGTTCCACTCACATTCAGAAGGGTTGGACTTTATGGGTTCAAACGCTGCGGAGGAGGATGTGGACGCAGATCCATCCAGGGAGGCAGAAGACTGAAGCTGCTGAGTGACTGCGGCCGTAGCTTCTGTTGTGAGTGCGAGTGGCGTCGTGCTGGTCACTTCTGTAACGGGAAATCAAACGTTAAACGAAACAATCGGTGCGAGGACGACAGAAGGGGAGGACGTGTCCGAGCGTGAGTTCACTGACCTGTGACTGAAGCCGATGTCACGGCAGGACCAGGTTTTGTTGGAGATGCTTGAACTGCTTTGGAAAACTGTGGTGACACAGAGATGAAGAGATCATCACACTGTTGTTTTTTTTTTGTTTTTTTACACAAATTAAGCAAACATGTTGTTTGCTTAACTTAAATAAACCTGCTGTCCCTGTTACTCCTCATGTGAGATCAGCTTTGCAGGTTTAAGGCAGAGAGACGACGACGAAATGTGTTTGCTGCTCTTGGTGAATTTTATTTAATTCCTGTGTGGAAGTTTCCGTACCTGTGAGGCAGCTGTGGCTGGGTGGGAGGTAGGAGCTGGTGCTGGGAGGTTCTGGAGAACGTCATCTGGAGGAGGGACGGGCAAAACCACGGGAGAGGCACTGGACGGGTCTTTGTTGACTAGCAAAACATCGATAGGACCGGAGGAACTTTTGAGACGGATCTGGCACTTTCTCTGTCCGTTGATGGGCTGCATATGGACACAGACAAAGACAGAGCTGACACGGTCGCAGTCTGTGCACTTTAATTGTTTATCTTTACTCTGCCGGACCTACATCTTCTGGCCTGGGCACCTCCAGCTGTGTGCCGATGGGAGCGCGAATTGCCAGGAGTGTTTCATCTGCAAAAAAAACAAAAAGACACGAGATTGATCGTGAGACAAACGAAGTGCAACAGTCAAGGGACCAACAACAAGCTTCAGATCGTTTGGAAAAATACCTTTGAACGCTCCACACAGGTCATCGTGTTTGACATATGCCATAGTAGATCATGTGTTAAGGCTCACAGGGTTTTCACATTTGGAACACAGTAATAATGTACTTTAGAAACAAAAAATGAATTTTGTCCCACATCTGAAAGTTTGTTTTTTAGTTGCCAGGCATTTTAGAAGAGTATTCATTTCTGACTTTTTTTTTATGAGTAAAATCAACAAACTTGACCTTTAAATGACCCGATCAGATGATCAGAGGTGTGGCTGTTGGCACCAACGGTCTGTGAACTAACACAACATGTCTGGTATTATCAATCAGCAGTGTAAGGCGCAAAATGGTGCTGAATATTTGCATGTTGTCTAACACAGTTTTGTTAAGATGTCGCTGCTATTCGCAAGCAGGTAACACGTTTAAACGTTAAATTATCAACAGCTTGGTTTGGCTGTGAGCAACGTTTATGAGCCTGAACAAGTGAGGAGTGTTTTCCACTGAAAGTCACAAGAGAATAATTACGTTCATGTGGACTTTTATTACAGCTCACCCTGAATAATCCAGTACACTGGGCACGAAGCTACAGTGGAGGGTAACAGGAAGTCAGAATCATCTCAATTTTGTTATATTTTATGTTAGTCCCACTTTTGGTAACATTTTTTTAAGTGATAACAACAAGGATATGGACTATTGTTGGAGTCGTCTGTGACGTTCTTGATGCTCTGCTGACCCCAGCCCCTCTGCTGGTCCAGCTCATCTTCTCTCAGCGCCAGGTCGTCCAACTCTGCCTTCAGATCAATGAGCTTATCTGCAATCTCTCTGGTGTTACAACCTGGACCTACACCCCTGAGCACAGAGTCAAAGAGAAGGTAAAAAAAACAAACAAATTTGTCAATAATATTCAGATTCACGTGACACAAATTTAACAACGAAACCATTCATGACAAAAATTAAAAGTTAAACAATGTGTAAACTTACTTCCACTGAATACTGTTCTTGGACTTTTTCTCTATTAGTCCTATTCCTTCCAGCACATTGGTGATGTCATAAATCCGTCGCTTCTGTCGCACCGCCAAGGTGTCGGCGGCCTGAGTGACAGGACAAAGGCATTGGAAAATACAATAGAGAAGAATTTCTGCTTCCACTGGCCATTGTCTCCGCTGGGTTCAACAGGTTCAACCATTCACAAAAAAAAACGTAAAGTTTAACCACCCATAATACAGTAGCGTCGTTTCAACGCTCTCGCCAGCCCAATGTCCCGTTTTATAAAACTAATGATAACCATATGGCTGATGCTGATAAGTCAGCCTAAACAGCAGGCAGCGTAGATGAGGTGGAGGCAGAGCGCTGCTGAATGACAGCTAACTGTAAGGGGTTCTATTCCAAAGTTGACACAACAAAGATCTATTAATAATTAATGCAAAAATGTAGACATCCAGTACAGCAAGGCAGTAGGAGTCGGGGGGGCGGGGGTGGATGGGGGGGGCAGAAGAGAGAGATGCTTTAACAATCGAGTCATAGCAGTGTTTTCACTTTTCTAACAGTGTCAGGACCATTTTAATCTTGCAAATAATATGGTCAGAGTTCCGTTGAACACGCAAATTCAGTTTAGTTTTTAAGTATCATAAAAAATAACCTTCATGCCCGTTACAATTGTCATTAAACATCAGAGGCTCTCGTTAAAAAATGAAAACTAAATGGTTGCTTTTTTGAATGCATCTGCAAGTCTCTGAGGTCACGGTGAAAAGGACCCTGTTCTGTTATATCAAGTAATGCTTGGCTGGTCAAGCTGCCATCTGCTTCTCTAGTCCTGATAGAGAAAACAAATTACACGGGCGCCAGTGTTTAAGAGTTTCTATTTATACTGCAATATGGTAAGTATACTGGTGTGTTTAGACAAAGTCAGAATTTAGACGCAACCCAACTCTAACCAGATGAAAGTCTTATATTAATAATTAGCTAAATGTGAATTGGAAATATGCCATTTAGTTATGCTGTAGACCCCAAGTAGCTAATGGTTAGCAAAGGAAAAAAACCCTAAATAAGCTAGATGCACTTTAGTCAAAAGGTGTACAAAAGTTGCCATAGACATTGCTAAATGTTAGCCTGGAATAACTATAAGATAGTTATGACTAAAGGTAGGTTAGCCTGGAAATACTTAATATACACAAAAAGTGCTACATTAAATGACAGAAATATGGACATCATATAATAAAACACTGGCAAAACTTTGCACAGTGAGTTAATAATATTAATAATATTCCAAAAAAAAAAGTACCATTCAGCACAAATGCTACAGGACATTAAGAGACCAATACTAACAGGTTGGTTATCGTACTAGATTAACGATCAAATTTAAAACAAACATATATAACGCTAATAATGTTCTTCCAAAAAGGACACTCTATAAGCGATAACATGCTTTTGAATGACTGCAGGCACATGGAAACGACAAAAGATGACCCACTTTAGGAACTTTCAATCTGCAGGGGGCAAAGTGTGGAAAGTTGATCGTTAATTTCAAAGTTCCTTTTCATACTTTTTGCTTTTTGACGAATGTAAACATCGCATGGAGGTTTGAAAGTAAACACAGCTAGAAAAGCTACAGGTTACCCGATTCAAATGTCCCTGTCAGACAGCGAGGCTAGGCTAACATGAGCTAACGAAAGTATATGGAGCCTAAAATGACATGTGCTAATAGCTAACAACAAAGACTGCTCTTTGCATGCTCACAGCTTTTAGGTCCAGAACGCCGTCCTTCGCCTCCTGTAGTAAAGTCACAAACTTGGTGGTGAGAAGTCCCAGGCTCTTTTCGTGCCTGCTCGGTGTCGGCGGTTGCAGCGAGTCCCCCACTGCTCCCAGTTCGCCTCGGTTACTGGCCGATTCCAGGTCCATCATCGCTCGGGACCAGTCCCCGTACTTCCCCGTTGCCTCCCCGACCAAATCCAGCCACCGAGCCCAATAAGGCACGCCACACCGCCGCAGTCAAATAAACAAAGAACGGGGCTGTGTGCCGTACGCACGTTGTAAATAACGAGCGACTTCTACACCTATGTGCTATAAAAATTTTGAGCCTGAGTCGAGCTCAACAGCCGCGGCTCAATGTTTCAATGAGGCTCTTTCCGTAGAGAGCCGTTGGCCACGCGAGGTATGACGGGACTGTTCAATCGTGAAAGGGAGCGTCTACAACTTATCTCACTCGTTTCATAAGCACGCAATAGGTAATCGTGTATTGAAGAAAACCTCAAGTTCAACCAACCCGCTCGACTTCGTGAAATATCATGTTAGTTTGTAAATGTTCATAAACCGCAATAACTGTGAGCGTTTTGTTTCAAGTGTAAAAACTGGGCTATAACTAATTTTGCGTTAATGCCACATTGAGCGTATCCCTTAACTCAAAGTTGAACCCAAGCGCGCGCCCGTGAACGCGCACATAATACATTTGAATTTTACAGATATTAAATAAATAGCGGATAAATAGTATTGTTCTATTTTATTATATATATATTTAAACTTTTGCATATTTACTTTAACAATTTTTTCCCGCATAAATATAGTGCGTTTCAATTACATTTGAACACAACTACCTTTATTTATTGTTTAAATACATTTTAACTTGTAAAAAGTATAGTTGTTGAAAATAACAAAAATGCAATGATAATAACAAGAATAATAATTCTAAATCTTAGGAATAGAATAACTGTTTGCCACTTGATAACAAACTGAAAAAATGTTATATTTTGCCAATAAAGTATTTTTTAAAATTAATAATGGGCAGGGGTAAAGGGGCATAATTGAAAACAAGCGAAATATTTACTTTAGTTCAAACTTGAACTCTAGTTATTCCTACGTGACAGACTTTTTATTCAATCGTCTTAAAATAAACAGCTAGTGCTTATTTTTATTACACAACTGTAGTTTGTTCGATTAAATAAAGGCAATGAATAAGGGAAGCTAAGTAAAATGTAACAATTTTTCTTATCTTTCTTTCTTTCTTTTTTCTTTCTTGTGAGAAATCTATAAAAGCAAAAGCTTATTAATACGCTCTATTGCTCAGTAGAAGGCGGTAGTGACCACCGATTTGTGTAAATTGATCTAAAGCTAATATCAGCAGATTCGTGCCACTGTAAGACAGCACTATCTGTTGAACGACAAATATTTTCACTACATTTATTCACACACATTTTGATCGTTTATATATTCAGAAAGCGTTACAATACACATTACACAATACAATCACGTCAAGAAATGTGAAGAAAGTGCGACCGAGGTTGTAAAATTCTCCGACGTGAGCAGCCAGTCAGCTGACTTCGCCAGGGGAGCAGCGCTGGATTCACAACAGGAAACAAGTTCCTTCATTTTTAGGCAAGTGGGCCGTTTATAATGTTCAAATACGACAAGAAGAATAGTTACGAATTGGTCGCGTGAAATATCTATATCCTATCAATTGTCTTTTAACATTATCCTTGACTATTGGCTTGGACGCTAGCAAACGCGAGGCTAACGTAAACAGACTTGGAGCAGCACACACACACATTGAGCATAAATTCCAACTCAAACTAGAAATGAAGTATAATGCATATATATTATTATTGTTATATGCAAATTAATCTAAGACAAAAGTTAGGCGATTGATGATTTGCTCGAAGGTATGTCTTGTTTACAATGGTTAACAACGAGGTGATGTTGACAGCTCATATTGTTTGCTTTTATGAGAGTAGGGTAGAGTGTAAAGTGAAAAGTATGAGTTAAAAAAACAGAGAAAATGATTTATTTTAAAATGTGGTGGTTCTGATGTAACCACGAATAAAGAAAACATTTTTATTTCACTTAAAAGACATGGAATCCTCATCATACTTGCCAGCATAGTCTTATTTATTATTTCCATAATCTGCCACAAGGGGGCCCCTGTGTCTTTTCATCCATTTCAGGGATTTAACTTAACCATATGCGCTGGGATCAATGCAAACAATGGGAGAAGATGAATGTGGAGAATGTTTGAACTGAATTAGTTAATGCACTGATACACTACTGTTTTGTGTGTTTTTTTGTTTTGTTTTTAGAAGTCTAATGCACTACTGTTTTTTGTGTTTTTTTGTTTTGTTTTTAGAAGTAACCATGAAGAAGAATAAAGGCAAGTCAGGTGACGCTGATGAAAAGGAGTTTGTGTTTGAGTTCAGGGCAGGAAAACACAACTGTGTACTGAAGGTGCCTCTGAAGTTCCCTGTTCACGAGAATGTCAGCGACCTTCACGGACGCCTGATGCTGCTGCACAAAATACCCTGCTACATAGAGAACGGTAAAGAAAGCATCTGAAAACATCTGTAGATCTTTTCACATTTCCTGTACATGCTGAACTACAATTCACTTCTCACAAACCTGCTCATTAACCATCTAAATTCTTCACATAAACATCCTCCAACTGCTGATGTACAGCTCAGCAGTATCAGTCTGTAGTCAATTTTACAATCCATAAATATGAGGCACAGATGGAATCTAATTCTCCATGTAATTCAAAACAGACATTTGCTTTTAAAACGGCATGTAAAAGCCTATTTTTAAGCTTGGCGTACACAGTTGAATGTAATGCGATCTGCTTTTGGTTTTTACGTCCAGATCCAAGAAGAGATTTTTGTTTTGCAGGAATGTAAAGAAAATAATCACATGGATTATTGTTAGATTTTTTTTTCTTTCTTTCTAATTTGTAATCCTTATCTACACAATCTGAGTGTAGACTTTGAGTTTGTTTTAACTGAATTTACTGAAACAACTTTGTGTCACGCACCATCCCGAGGAGACATTATTCCCAGCAGGCATTCAGTTAGTTTGAAATCTGAAGGATGGAAAATACCAAGCCCATTGATTTGTTTTTTTAACAGATTTTTTTTATTTTATTTAATTAATTTGTGTCCCCTTTTTTCCCATAGAGCTCAAAACCTCACTTTCCAACTTCATTGAAAGCGAGACCATTCTGGATTATGACAGAGAGGCAGAGTTGGCTTTACAGAAACTCACCACCGGGGATGTAGACGTCAACCAGCTCACTAACGCATGGACCCGCTCCTACATGGAGGTGAACGCAGATTATATTGTGCACTAACAGTTTCCATCAGTGATTCCCAAAACCCCTGTGTTGTACCATTGAAAAACATCACATAATTAGTCTGAAAATCGTTCTTTATTTATGTTATTTACTGGGAGAAAAAAAAGCAAAATTTGAACGTTATACCAGAATCCCAACTAAAACATAGCAAAAAAAAGTACATAAAAGTAAAAATGAAACATATATATTAATATAAGAATATTAAACTTGTTACATTGCACTGTGTAATTTACTGTATATCTAATTATAATGTTATGTCTAATACAGGTGTTACACTAAATTCTAAATGAAATCCCCGCGACATGACCGTTATATTGATTTACCATGAGAAGGCAGCGTTGCTTTCAGACATGTCCCTGCAAAGATACAGTGTTAATGTGAAAAATGTCTATTAATAAAGTGGAAAGAAGACTTTATTCTTGGCAGCTGTTCCACTAAGTTAATTTCAGACGCTGGCCTCTCATAACACCCTGATCGTATATCCACTACTCTGTGTTTCTGTAGTAGCACAGGGCAGTGTTCCGGAAGTGTCCTGGAGTGCTCCTGGTTTTCCTTCAGGGCCATCACTGACCAGTACTGCAGTTTAAACACAGTAGACATTGCAGTAAAGTAATATAAACTCATTCAGAACTTTATTCCTGTCTCGGAACCAGGTTTTCCATCGTAGTTACACTTTTTAGTAGCTAATGATTTAGTTGATGAATTGAATTGAATTGAAATGAATTTTTTGAAAATTAATTTGTTGTCTATTTATGCTGTGATTTTGGCATGAAACTAATATCAAATTGACGTTCCTCCCGTTCCTCTGCCATTGTTCTAGACAACGCTGGAGCACGCTCGGCCTGAAGAGCCCAGCTGGGACGAGGACTTTGCCGATGTTTACCACGAGCTGATCCACTCTCCTGCCTCGGAAACTCTCCTCAACCTGGAGCACAACTACTTTGTTAGCATCTCTGAGCTCATCAGTGAGAGAGACATGGAGATCAAGAAGCTTCTGGAGAGGTGAGTGTTTGGGATCGACACAGATTTCTCATTCTGTCAACGCAGGCAGCAACACATTAGATCTGCAGAAGATTAGACTACGGTACATCCTGCTTCATGCATAAAAAGATACAATAATGAGCTTGGATTTTATAACATTTGTTACATTTTTTTTTAAATCAAAGACAAGCTGCTGAGATGAAAAAAGTGATGCATGAGCTGGGGAACACGCTGTGTGACCAGGATGTAAACACAGTGGCGGCTCAGCACTTTAAAGCTCGGCAGGTAAGAAGAACTCCTTGACCTCTTCGTTCACTGAAAAAAATCCCAGAATTTAATTTTATTTCTCTCTGTTTAATCAGGTGCTGGAGAGCAAATGGACCAGTGAGCTGAAGCAGGTCACCTGCATCCAGAAGCAGGAGTACCAGGAGTGGGTGGTCAAGCTGCACCAGGACCTCCAGAAGTCCAACAACAGCAGCAAAATCAAGTGAGATTTTTCCTCTTCATTTTTTTTCTGTTTGCTGAAAGTAGAGTTTTATCTTTGTTTGCATACTTTCCTTTGGATATCTGTAATCTTCCTTTACACACACACGTGCACTTGAATAGACAGTTCTGTGACAGTCTAACTGGGGCTAAAGAAATTGTTGACTCAGCATAATAAATACCTGGAGTCAGGTGCTCAGGGGCTTTACTCTTGTCAAGGGAAAAAAAAAATAAAAAAAGACGAGCTGCAGGGTGGACATGGATGATTGAAATCTGCCGACGCTGCAGCTTTGAGCAGGATTGTCAAAAGATGTGGCAGTGATGCAGCGACGTGTCTTTGACACTGCAGCTGCTCGGCCTCGTCCAGGCTCTGAGGTTTGGGTCCAGACACAGTTAATTTACTCTGTAGAGACACGTGGAACTATAGAGCATAAAAAAAGAAAAAAAGAGAACAAATACACCAAGCTGAGGTAATTACATGAGTCATCAAATGGTTCAAAGGGTTTTTTTTTAAATCATTTGACATGTGATTTAGTTCACTGAAAGACATCACTTTATTCACCCTTTAAAGGAGAGCGATATTTTTTAATGATCAAAAGAGTGAGAACTCTTAAAGAAAACCATTACATCAGTAGCAACCGATTCAACGTGGAATGACAAAATAAGAAACTCTGGACAGACTTCTGACTGGAACCAAGGTTTTCCAACCAGTCTAACCAGTAGTTACTGGTTATTCCATCAAAACCATAGAACAAAAAAAAAAAAAAACCACAAAACCACACCAGGCAAAGAGCTGCTCCGACTGTGGGCTGACTCTGCACTTTCACATGGATACAGTGAACACTGGCTTTTGAATTAGAGGTGCGTTGATCAGTTATATATTCAGATCAACTTTCTGAATATATATTCAGTATTTGTTTATATACAGTATGTGTGTGTATATGTGTGTAAGTATATATGTATATGTATGTCTATATATGTATCAATGTGTACATATGTATATATGTATGTATATGTGTATATATGTATGTCTATATATGTATGTATGTGTACATATGTATATGTATATATGTGTATATATGTATATGTAGTGGTTATATATGTATGTGTATGTATATGTGTCTGAGTATATATGTATATGTATATATGTATATGTATGTCTATATATGTATGTATGTGTATATATGTATATATGTACATGTGTATATGTTCTACATATATGTATACTAAATTATCAATGGCTTTAAGAACCACTGTAATATCCATCATTGTCAGTGGACGGTTCCTCTTTGATCGAGCCTTATTTTGTTGTTTTCCTGACCCGGTGTTTAATTTTCTCTGATTTCATCTGTAGTGAAGAGATTAAGGTGCAGCCCAGTCAGCTGTCAGAACCCACGGATTCTGGGTCGAGGATGTTTGAGGAGCAGCCTCAGCTGGAGGAGAGCTTTACCATACACTTAGGTTTAACTACTCTTTTATTCCTGCCGTTCTATCAAATGATAACAGACGGGGCTGGACACACGTCGTAATCGCTCCTTGTTTTCCTGTATTTGTTATCCTTGTTTTCACCAGGGGCTCAGCTAAAGACGATGCACAACCTGCGTCTGGTCCGGGCGGATGTGCTCAACTTCTGCAAGCATCGGCGACACGGCAGCGGCGGAGAAAAGCTGCGTCGGCTGCAGACGGCGCTGTCGCTCTACTCCTCCTCCCTCTGTGGTCTGGTGCTGTTGGTGGACAACAGGGTCACCTCCTACAGTGGCATCAAGAGAGGTCACTGTCACATGTTCCCAGTTTAAAAATGCAATTGATAGTGTTGGGGAGAAACAGAATACTTTTGGCAGCAGATCCCGGTTCCTACACAGCTTGTACTTTTGTTTTGGCCGCGGTGAGTTTTTATTTTGGTCACGGTGATGATCCAACCCTTTCTGGGAATGTGACCCCGTGTGCAGTGAAATGATCCAGATGAAGTGATAAACTATGGATTGAGTTTAAATTCATGGTGAAAGAAACTTTTTATACATTATTTCCATTCTTTTTTTTCTTCTTCTTCTTCTTCTTCTTTCTTTGCGTAGATTTTGCCATCGTGGCAAAGGAGTGCACAGACTTCCACTTCCCCTGTCTGGAGGAGCAGCTGGAGGAGGTGCAGCAGGTGGTGCTGTATGCCCGAGCACAGCGCAGCAGCAAGCAGAAAGAACAACCTGGTCAGGGTAAGACCAGGACATGGATCCAATTTTTTTTTTATTTCAAGGACCTTGAATGCATCACTGGCCTCTAATTTGCCTTTAAATATACAGTAACTTCCTGATGTTGTCGGGGCTCCAGCTGTTGGGGAATTTAATGTTTTATAAATATTTAAAATATATTACAGCAATAAAAGAATTTCTTCATCTCTTCTTAAACAGCAGAATTAGGAAACATAAATGGAACCTTAAAAGAGTCCGTGTGTGTGTGTGTATGTGTGAAAGATGGTTATAGGGTCTGACAAATTTGTACTGTGTCAGTGTCGTGCCTGCAGTGTGAGACCAGATTTAAACAGACAGGAAATGGAAAACTCATTACATCACCACTAATGCACTGACAAAAGACAGTGTCCAGATCTGTATCACAGTGTCCCAGAGTGGTGTGAGCAGTGGAGCTGGAGTGGAGACGGGGATGGTCCATAGAAGAAAAAAAACAACAACTTTATATTATATAAAAAATAAATAAATTTAAAGTTTCTCATGGATGTTTTTTCTTTTTTTTTTTTTTCAGAGATTCCAAAGAATGGAGGTGATGAGAAGAACAAAAATGTAGAAAGAAACCCTTCGAACATCTTACCAGGTAATACTACTACAACTACTTTAACTACAGTTATAATAATAATAATTACTATTATTATCTTTATTACGGTTGTGATTATAATTGCAATTTTCTAGGACATTGAATGCGTCACTATTATTATTACAGCTCTCAATATTTTTAATTAGTTTAATCATGGTAGCTGTGGCTTAATCATAATGATCATAATTCATTGTAATTATAAATAATCATGGTTAATCATGATTATTTTGTATCTATGTGTTAATTATGTCCTAATTATTTATTATTATCATGTTTGATAATGTTGGAGAATTTTACAGATAACATCACAGAGAGGAGGAGACTAACGAGTTACGAAATTCCATCCCATAATAATTAGTAGCTTCTACGTCTCTATGCTGTAGAGCAGTTTTTCCCAAACCTTTTTTTCTGGGGACCCATATTTTAAAAGTCACAAACTTTCACGACCCGAGTCAATAGACATTATTCTTAAACTCCTGGGAAACATGATGCGAGACGACAAAAAAAAAAAATCTCTTGCGACCCACCTGAGGGTCACGACCCAGTCTTTGGGAAACAATGCTGTAAAGAACCCTTACAAAGAAAACTAAAGTCTAACAACTGCATCTCTGTCTCCTTCTTCTTCTCCTTCTTCTCCTTCAAGGGGAGTTCTACATCTCCCGCCATTCCAACCTGTCAGAGGTCCACGCCGTCTTCCACCTGTGTGTGGACGACAACGTGCGATTAGGCAACATCACAGCGCGTGACCCGGCCATCATGGGCCTGAGGAACATCCTGAAAGTCTGCTGCACACACGACATCACCACCATCACCATCCCCCTGCTGCTGGTCCACGACATGTCAGACGTAAGAACCGCCGCCAAAGTCTTCACGCTTGGCACCGAAGGACGTCCGGCGAGACGTCTGCGTTTTCTTTTTGTCTGTCTGTTTGGTGTGTGTCCTTCATCGAGGCCACTCAGCTCTTGAGGCCAGGACTAAAAAAAAAACCTCCATGGTTTTAAAACCACGAGGACAAAGTTGACTCAAGCTGTAAACTTTTGTGTTTACATATGGCTTCAGAGTGTGTGCAGCCGTCAGTGGTCACACAGTGTTCAGGCAGAGAACAGAACAAGGGCCTTCACTGAGTCTCAGCCAAAGTCTCGTCCAAACCACGGTTAGTCAGAAAGTTCTAGGACAGATGTTATCGTTTGTAAATCCTCGTATCTTTGTGTTACATTTTTCTCGATCACGTTTTGATCTGACACCGTCTGATTTTCTTTTTTCCCCAAAACTGAAAGAACATTTGACAGGAACTGGTTTTCAGGCAGGTTTTGACCTGGTGCTGACGACATCCTTCAGAATTCTACCACCAAGAATCGTCTGATAGAAACAAAAAAGAAGAATTTGTAATTAATGGAGGAGAAATAATAGTTTTTAGTTTGTAGTTTCTCAGTTCGTTCTCTGTAGAGTTTTATTCACTATAATTTGTGAGCCTCAGTTCGTTCTCTGCAGAGTTTTATTCACTATAATTTGTGAGCACTAAAATGTTTTTAAATCTAAACTAAGTTGTGACACTTTTCCAAATACCAACTAACTCCACGAACATGTTTTTATATCAATTTAAATTCAAAGTTTTGAGGAACAACCACAATATTTCAAAATGTAAGTTGATTAAAATGTAAGTTGGAAAATCACGTTGTCAACATCAATACAACGACCTTTACTCACTCTGAGAATAAACCCTGTTATTTTTATTTTATTTTTCTTTCCCCTAATTATTAGCGATATAATACAAGCCAAGAATCATAAGACTCCCAGAATCCCAGAGGATGAAAAGCAAATTCTCACCAAGGCCGGGCCTCTTGCCACGACATGTCTAATCAACAGCCCGTTGTTGACATAACCTAGGTCTTCAACCTCACGAAGCTTTAGGAACTGGAGGATCTTTAATTGAAAGCTTCTAGTTCCTGAACTTTCCGTCTCCTCTGCCTTGTTTTTCCACTCAGTAAACACGTTCGCCTGTTTTTTTGTTTTTAAACCTATTCTTGTGTTCTGGCTTAAAAACCACTGGCAAAGTGTGTTTGTCTGAACTGTAATGAAGGGCACTCTGCTCTTATTTTAGAAACAGAAACACAGAACGGTTTCTGACTGAAAACTTCAAACCTGTTTTTTTTACTTTCTGTTTTAAAGTTTGTGCAGAACGGTTTCTGACTGAAAACTTTTTTTACTTTCTGTTTTAAAGTTTGTGGAAAGTGTAAGAATTACTTTTACACAATTTGGAAAACTTTTGTTTGTTTTCCCTTTTTCTTTGGGAGTTTGTAGTAGTCTAGGAAACACTTTCTGTCTAATCCCTGTTTTGCAGTTGTTTGGGTGATAATCTGATTTAATCTGTGCAACATCCATTTAATCTCTTTGTCTTTGACTGATCTGTACCATGTTCGTCCTCTCTCATCAGGAGATGACCATACCGTGGTGTCTGAAGAGAGCGGAGCTGGTTTTCAAATGTGTCAAAGGTAACGTTCCCATCAGGAAGAGTACAGTATTTTGAATGAATTCTGATCCAATTGTAGATTTTCCTCCTGATGTTTTCCTCCTTTCCTGTCTGATTCACAGGCTTCATGATGGAGATGGCCTCCTGGGATGGAGGAATATCTCGCACAGTTCAGTTTTTGGTACCACAGGTGAGAATTTAGGTTTAACATCTTAAAAACAAAAAACTTTTACGATGTCAGTTTGGAATGTTGTTACATTTAACCTGGTTTAACATTAGAAATTACTGAGGATTTTAGGTTTATTTTCCTAGATTTTAGGAAAATAAACCTAAAAGTGAATGTCCACTCAGACCGTCGTCAGTACTCCTTCATGGTCCCCGTCTTCGTTATAGTCTGTGAAATTGAAGGTGGGGCCAGAAATGGACTCCAAAATCACTGTAGCCCCCTAGTGGATGCATTGCTTAACAGCGCTTAACACTGCCAAACATAAGGCACGCACGCTGTGGGAGTGTGTGTTCGGTGACGTTGGAACATCAGACGTGCCGATCCACAGCCACACGTGTTGTTATTTCTGCTCTACCTTCCTGCTCTGTCTGAAAGGCCGCTGATCCCACGATGACAGGCCGGGAAGATAAACATCTGTGGCATCAGAGCCGTCGGACTGAAGTGTATTCTTGTCAACTGCGCGCTCAGACATTGTTCAGAGTACCGACGAGTCGAGCGGCATTGTTTTCTACCGCCTAAATATATATATATATATTCACCGTTTGTACAATCGTAAACATCTGTTTGTGTGGAGTCCACTTTGTTGAGGTTTTACAGATTTACACCTAGAGTTCTTGGTTCATGCGTGGTGATGCTCAGAATGACCCCGTCTGTCAGGCGGCCGTTAGTGTCCCAGCCGTCAGGAGGGAAATGGTTTGAGCTTCGTTAACAACCGTTCCCTGGGGAGGAGGAAGATGAGTTGACGTAGAGCAAACATCTGGCTCCAGACAAACAGTACAAATCACGCTGTCGGTGCGAAGGCTGCACTGTGTCATTTTTTTGAATAAGTAGAATGGAGGGTAACATTAGAGCCACGGGCAGATGGGTTTCAAGAGTCCTGATGGAGCCTCATCTTCTCAGGAGTCGTTTAGTTCTGTGTTAATGTTATGGTGTAGATTGGATCACTATGTGTGTGTATATATGTGTGTATATATGTATATATGTATGTATATATGTATATGTATATATGTGTATGTATATCTATATACATATATATGCATATATGTATATGTATGTAAATATATATGTGTGTATATGTATATATTTATATATGTATATATGTATGTGTATATATATGCATATCTGTATATATGTATGTGTATGTATGTATGTGTATATGTATACATACATATACTGTATATACATATATACATATACATATGTATATATTTATATTTTTATATATTATATATTTGATAAGCTTTTTCTCCTTCGTTACTGTTTTTGCAAAAATCTTCCCCTCTCCCCCCCCACCCCTGACTAACTGCCGCTCACTGACTGTTTTTCTGCACAGACTATTTCTGAGGAAATGTTCTACCAGCTGAGCACCCTGCTGCCTCAGATCTTCCGTGTCTCCTCCACCCTGACTCTCACCTCAAACACTGATGGGTGAAGATGCATCAACGTGGCGTTCACAGAACACAAGACTTTATTTTGAACCACGTCGACCAGTCGTGTTTTTTTTTTTTCAGTTGATGACTGGCGGAGAGAGTTTATGAAATAACCATGGGTGTTTTGATGGACTCGCAGTACTAGTAGGTGGTACTTACACACATCCAAAAAGACACTTTGCACCATTTTAAATATACACACGGGCTATGAATACTTCTAACTAGCACTGTTGAGAGGAGGACTGGAACCCATGGGTCACGCAGAAAAATATCTGCTGCAGTTATTACACCAAACTTCCAGGGTGTGGTTCTGGTGACGGGCTTTACGACTTGAGCCACCGGTGCAGCTAAAAAAAAAAAAATAAGGGTCAAGTTTTTCCTTCAGAGCAGCAATTTGTGACTTTCCTCAGCAGCAAACAGCTGCTGCTGCTGCTGCTAAATAAAAAATGAAACTTTTTTTTTTTTTTTGTGCTATATAAAAAGTGAAACTTGTTTTTTTTTTTACTTGAGATAATGTGAGATAATGCAAATGTGAAAAACAGTTTTGTTTACTGATGCACTGACCAGTGAACGCACCGTCAGGCCTGCGTGACATAAAAGAAAAAGAGGAATTACGTTTATATAATATTGCTGTTGTAATTGTACCTGAATTCCAATATAGACCAGTGTAACAGTGACCAACTTGACTCGTCTGTTCCCACTGGCCTGTGGCAGGCAGTGAACCCAACACCACAGTCTGACCCAGCTGTTGTGTTTGGGTGGCCTTCAAAATGTTGGCACCGTTGTCAGTGGTGACGCACAGTTCATGCGAGTCCCAGCTGGACGACACGTCGTGAAACGGGAGAGCTGTTTTGATTAGCGTGGGTTTTACTACAATACACACACACACACACACACACTCACACACACACGTGGAGGAATTACACAGTGGAACTCCTGCAGGGCTTAGTCCCTACAGGTTTGTAGAAGATCTGCGTTTTTGTTTGGCTGCAGCAAAACTGTGGATTTGGGGGCTGTGTCCAAACACTGGTTCTCGGACCAGTACTGAGCCATCAGTGATGTTGTAGCGGGCAGCAGAAACGAAACATAAGTAAGATTTTTTGGCGTTTGTTATTCTCAAACCCTTGGCACAATAAACCTGTCAAAATGAGAAGCGTGAGAAGACCAGCCTTCGCTGACACTGTACGTCCTTCCATTTTTTTTTTGCTTAGTCCCCTGCAGGACAACTGAGGAGTTGCAGCCATCAGTCAACTGGCAATGTTGTACTGGGGGGTATAAAAAAAAACTACGTAAATGCTGAAATTAAGCGTGTGTCAAAAGTCCAGTCAACTCGTTTTCTGAGATGGTTTGATGTTGATTCTGTACGGCCAACATTTTTCCATCTCTATTTTTTTTTTTGGTGCTGTAATTAAAAGCAGAATTTGACGTAAATTCCTCATGAAAGCCATGACAAGTGCGTGACGGCGTTTCTCCACTCGGTCGCCCACGGCCCAACACGTGTAGTGGCATTTGGTTGGTTGTTTTATTTACTGCTGGCGGGCCGTCCTGCAGAAATATAATCTCTCTGATGTTGATAATCCTTGTCAGTCATTTGAATTACATTCCTGGGCGTCTAATGGTGGCCTGTGAGCCATGTCAGACTCATCAATTCAGCCTGTCAGAGTGTTCGTCACAGACATGTTCAGTGGCTGATTTTAAAATTGTTAACGTGACTTCTCGCCTTTCAAGAAAGCCCCGATGGCCCGGCGGCCTCGGGGAGAGTTATGAGGATTCTTAATAAAGTCACGTTGAAACCTGTAACTGTTTATATCGCACCGCCATCCTGTGAACCCACAAAATGGTGAGAATACATATAGCGGCGTGTTTGACATTATTAGCATCGGTCGCCGTGTTGGGTTTCTGTAGAGACCGTAGGACGCAGGCTCACTAATTCTCCTATCAGACCAGGGCGTGGTGTCAACCTCTTCAGAATAGACCTTTAAATAATACGTCTCTGTAAGGGGTTAAAATACAACTTAATAATATGTAAAATAAATACAACCTCCTCCCACTCCCCCCGACAGAATCAGGTAAGAATATATTTGCAAATAGTTTTCTGTCGACCCTGTACGTGATTTGATTATATGCAATGGAAAGGACAAGGTATTAGTTTGAATGTTTTTAAAGGTCATTTCAAATGAGTTAGGGACGCAGAAAAACACCAGTATGTCTACGTAAGTTTTCTGCATCTGAATGCACACATTTCAAAGCTATAGTGACCACCACCAACTGACAGAGAAAGCAACAAAAACCCAGTTATTATCGCCATTGTTTACATTGTTTTTCATGGCAGTGATGCCATTGTTGTCCTAGATTAAAATGAAACTATGGCACCATACCCCTAAAGGCTAAGTGCCCCATTTTTGTCTTGATGCAGATGAGGGTTGTTGCAGCTAAGTGGGCGGTGCAATTGTCTTACAGCCAGAAGGTTGTGGGTTCAATTCTGATTTAGGCGACAGATTATTTAAGACAGAGAGTTGGTATAAGAGAATAAAGAAGACGATTAAAGGAACCCAGAGAGGGGGCAATTGTTCTGACCCCGTTTATGGCATAAACCCACATGGTGTTCAAACTACCAACCTCTCCATCAGGAACCCCAGTGCCTCCAGTGCCTGTGTGTCTCAGTTGTAACTTAAATGAAATGGTTGAGTGCAGACCTCAACAACAGTCTTTGAAGTACCTGGTTCAAATACCTTCTATTGTTTCCACTCCGGTTCCAAAAGCTGTGCCAGCTGTGGTGCGTGTTGTGTGTAATGATGTTCACGTGGTAGAAAATGGTCTATTTACCTGCTCTGTTTACCTGCCAGATGTGTCTCTAAAATGAAGGGACAAATAATAATACACTATAAAATAAATCATTAGAACTGAGTTGGACATGATTGATCGCATGCTTTACATAATTGGCAAAAATAAAAAAACATTTCTTGGAGAAAAGGTCAGGGTTATTTAATGTTTTTTTTAAATACATTTTTTTAGCCTTTTTTCCTTAAAATGTGTTATAGCCATTATGTCCAAATTAAAAAAAAATAAACTCACCGTTATAAGTAAAAAAATTAATGATGTTTTTGTCTTAATACAACAACAACAACATCAAACAACAAAATCATTTTTCCTGTGCTATTTGTACGTATGCAAATGATTTTTCCTGTGCTATTTGTACGTATGCGCGTTCACGTTGTTACCGGAACTTGCTTTTCTCTTGTTACCAAAATAAAGGCAGCCACGCAGTTACTAATCAATACCAACATCATAACAGTTTGTGCTGTTGTGAACTTTCTCGGACTATTTTATTTATTTATTTAATGTTTTATTCTGATGCGTGAAATACACTCCGTTTTTTTCACAGAAACGCCACCATTGCGGCGCATGAGCGCTTTTAATTTAAAAGTAAAGACCGGAAACGCGTCGTAGTCGCTAAGGTTAGCTTGTCAACAGTTGTCACTTTTAGATAGTTGTGCTCGCGGTAAGTTGGGCAACAGTGGTACGGTTTGAGGAGCTAGTAAGTTGATGCATGGATCTGCCGGAGTTACCAGTGATTTGAGGTAAAACAAAATCTCTTTTAATCGTTTTCTGATGTATAAAAATGCCTTTTTACTACATAAGGGTTGGCGTCGATACGTAGCCTTACGTTGAATAGCTCTTCCAGTCGTATCGTACCGATTTAAAAACTTGTCGGTGCCTGAGAGTCTGTGCGGCTGGAAACTTGTTCATTGAATCTGTCCTGGTTGACGAACATTTGTAAAGAGAGACTTAAAAAGAAAACCGCAGACAACTGGGTTTGAAATATGACCTAAACCTGAGTTCTCTGTTCTCTGCCTGTGTTTGTGTGTCTCTATGTTCGTGATTCATTGAGTGCCAGAGGCGGTGTATTTTAGCTGAGGACATGTGAGATTGAGTTAGCTTTGGTGGAAAGGTGTGTGGTTAAAGATAGGCTCCGGCAATGGCAGCAGCAACAGCAGCAGCAACAGCAGCAAGGTGGTGGTGGACCTAGACCTGGTACTAAACCCGGTGGAAGTTTTTCCCCCCACTCTCTTCTAACATTAGTCCCCCCACCCCGCCCCCCTCGGCTGCCAACAGCCACCGTCGGTGCAACGATTAATCGGTATCTGTGATATAAGCGTTTAAAGCGTCGCTGTAAACTGTTGTGCTGCTGTTATGACACATGGACTTTTCGGCAGCAGGAGGAGGAGGAGGAGGAGGAGGAGGAGGAGGTGGCGCCTCCTCAGGACACCACGTTTAGAAAAAGTTGGAGTCCTTTTTTTTTCCCCCTGCAGCAGCAGCAGCAGGCGGTGGCACAGGGGCCGGGGGCCCG